TGAAAGGGCGAGCATGTTTGGTGTGACTGGGATTCGAACCCACGACTCTCTGATTGCGAGTCGAGCGCCCTAACCACCTGGCCATGCCGGGCCCCTTTTAGAGTGAGTATACGTTATTTCAGTGCAAAAATAAGTCTCTCTCTCTCTAAGTTTTGCTGAAAATATAAACAAATGCAAACCAATTTAAAAAAGTTAGTCGCAATGCTTTACAATAACTCAACCCAGGGAACAATTTAGCAAGCGTATATTGTATTCCATTAATCAGTACGCATATGTTTTCTAAAATAAAGTAGTCAAAACCTATATAGAAACGCCTTTTTTTAGTTTGAAACACAAACGAAAAATAAAAATAACTTACAAATGAAGTTTGAAAGGGAATAGCAGAAATTTTATATAAATATATGTAATATTTGTGTCTACGATGATATGAGACTTGAAGACTCCATCCACCCCCCACCCCCTCAAACCCAGGTTTCAAAATTATATTAACTAAAACTTTGACGAAAGCGAAATGTATTTCTACAATGCGGATAAAAGATAAACGTTTCGGATTATATAATATGAATTCTTTGAGTGCTTAAACCACTCCCTCTCTATGTACATGTGTATATATAGATGTACAGTTAGTGTTTATACGTACGATGGACACGACAACCAGATGACACACAAATGAATTACTTTGTACAGTGCATTTTGTTGAAATATAGAGCATTAGATTCAACACTGCACGTCAAACAGAAGATAAAATGTTAAGTGGTTTAAAAATAAAACAATGTAAAAACTATTACAAAAGCATCTAACACCGACCACACGAAGAGGTTTACTATTTTTTTATATAGATTTTTAACGATTTATGAAATATATGTTCTACATATTCTCAGCTAACCTAAGGATAAGTCAGTTTTTATCATCATCTAGAAAACACAAAGCACGAGATAAGCCATTCAAAATTAGTACAAATACATAAAATTCCTGAAATGTATAAATCACAATGAAATGTCTAGAGCATGAACGAACCAGCAACATTATCCGCCAATATGTTACTCCTGCAAATAATATTGACTTCTGATCAACACACTACCTATATACACAAATCATAGCTAAAAAACAAACTCGGTAATGATTATATCTAATTAAGTACACTTTCTTATTTACAAATGTCAGAATGCATCACTTCATCAGGTGGGTACCCTTGCTGGTAGAGACATTTTCGGCCGTAATTCCAATAACGTCTCATGAGGTTCGACCTAGTTAGAATATTTAAGTTAGTCCTACATCCATACATTAAATTAGCAATATAAACTAATATTTAGAATAAAAATACTATAATAAAGAATTTCACACAATAAAAATTATATATATATATATATATATATTAAATATTCTGTCTCATGGTGTTAATGAAAGTACCATTAAAGAAAGAATGGTGTATGCACTCTTTAACGTGCATCATTTACACATCATTTCGGTTAGGTCTAGCAAAACCGTTTGCTAGAAAATTATTTTTACTGAATCAGGCAAAAGATA